CAGTTCAGGCAATGCTTCAGTGATTCCTGCCTGAGGAAAACTAGGAGCGGCTCCTGGCACCTTCTTCTCCTCCGGTGGTGTATTGTCCCCCTTTTTCTGCTCTCAGCATGATGAGATCTGCACAGAAGTAGCCAAATGGAAGAAACCCCCTGAAACGGGAGAGTTAGGGGGAGTACCTGTTCCACACAATGCCACAAATGGCCTTTGTACTCTCCTAACCCAAAAAAGTGTTGCTTTTTTTGCTGCCCATTTTTCTCAGCTACCTGCAGTGGCAAGAAGCCAACATCCGGCCTCTTTGTGCCTTGCTGAACTCAGCGGGAGGCAGGTCCTGGCCTGTGGGCGGCTTCTGGCACCAAATGAAGTTGAGGTTTTCCCTGCTGGTTCCCGACCGGAATCGGTTTCCTTAAAAGACTCTCGCTTGGCCGAAGTGGGAACAGGATTTTACTTTGGCTGCAGAAGTTGCCAAGTTTGGCTTTTTTGGTGAACAGACAAGGGCCAATGGATGGGATACGTTTTGCTCCCAATAAGCAAACACGTTCATCCTGGTTGTGAAGGCATCTATCCATGTTGGTATAGACCTGCAGCAACAAGTCAAAGGGCCTCGTAAAAACATCTCCAGATGTGATGGAGGTTCTGCTTTAAGCATTAGGAATAGGTTTCAAGCCTGCTTTGGAAAAGTAGAGCTTGGAAAAGTTAGTTGTATGGACAATAGCTTCCATGTTTCTCCTGCCATCATGGCTATTTGTCATTCTACCTGGATGATAGTAAAATCCAAATAAACCGATGTGGTGTAGTGCGAGGAGTATTTTTTAAGTAAGGTCTGTTTGAACATAAGTACACAACGAAAGTTTATTTCAAAAAAGTAAATTTATTTTCAGAAAGTACATACTTCACTCTATTTTTCGACATAGTTGCCAAGTTTGTTCAAACACTTATCATACCTCTGAACCAATTTTAAAATACCCTCTTCATGCACCCTCGCTTCAACTGAAGCCACCAAATCGTCTGTAATCAAAGAAGGGCGACCGGAGCGGTCTCATCATGGACGTTGTCACGGCCATCTTTGAATTGTCGTACCCACTTACACACTTTGCTTTCACTCATAACAGTATCACCGTACACTTCACAAATCTGTTGATGAATTTCTGCAGCAGGCAGGTTCCTTGCTGACAAAAACCGTATCAATGAGCGAACCTCATATGCGGCGGGTGAGTTGATAGTCTTAAACATGTTTAAAGCACAGAACAGAACCGTACAGGTTAGCTACAGAGCGGAAACTGAGCACAGTTGTTCCCGAGGCATGCCAGTACACGACGCACGCTCTCGTTGCGGTATGCACACGAACTACTAGTGTCTACAACAAAATGGACCTTACTTAAAAAATACCCCTCGTAGTTTGAGCATTCGACAACAACCAGGGACCAAAGTCTGACTTGGCCACGGTGGTCCACGCTCTGGTTACATCCCATATAGATTACTGCAACGCGCTCTACGTTGTCTTTGAAGACTGTTCGGAAACTTCAAATGGTCCAGCGTGCGGCAGCCAGGTCGCTAACAGGAGCGGTGCTTGGGGAGCATACAACTCCTCTGTTGCGTCAGCTCCACTGGCTGCCAGTTTGCTACCGGGCACAATTCAAAGTGCTGGCTTTAGCCTATAAAGCCCTAAAGCAGTGGTTCTCAACCTGGGGTCCCTAGATGTTTTTGGCCTTCAACTCCCAGAAATTCCAGCTGCTAAACTGGCTGGGATTTCTGGGAATTGTAGGCCAAAAACATCTGGGGATCCCAGGTTGAGAACCACTGCCCTAAAGGGTTCCGTCCCAGCTTATCTATCCGAAGGCATCTCCCCCTATGAACCCACTAGGGATTTGAGATCGTCGGAGGAAGCCCTGCTCTCGATCCCACCTGCTTCACAAGCACGTCTGGTGGGAATGAGAGACGGCCTTTTCTGTGGTGGCCCCTCAGTTGTGGAACTCCCTGCCGAGGGATATCGGATCAGCCCCCTCATAGAATCATAGAATCAAAGAGTTGGAAGAGACCTCATGGGCCATCCAGTCCAACCCCTGCCAAGAAGCAGGAATATTGCATTCAAAGCACCCCTGACAGATGGCCATCCAGCCTCTGTTTAAAAGCTTCCAAAGAAGGAGCCTCTCCCACACTCCGGGGCAGAGAGTTCCACTGCTGAACGGCTCTCACAGTCAGGAAGTTATTCCTCATGTTCAGATGGAATCTCCTCTCTTGTAGTTTGAACCCTCCCTCCTAAGCTTTCGAAAAAACCCTGAAAACTTGGCTCTTCGAGCAAGCTTTTGGAGCCTCAGCTTAATCAGATAAACCTTGAATTGGAAAACGACCTAGGAATGGCTAAGACGACAGAACGGATGAGGACTGAATATGACGACATAGTTTTAAATTTTTTATTGTTCACTGGTTTGATGTTTTTAGATATAGTGTAATGTGATGCTTTAGTTTTATTGATGTATGTATTTTATATATATGGCATCGAATTGTGCTGATTGTTTGCCGCCCTGAGTCGCCTTCGGGCTGATTTGGGCAGGGTAAAAATGATATAAATAAATAAATTACCCGATTGGCCGTTGAAATCCTTTGGGTGACTGTGGGTGAGTCATGCACTCAGGCCCAGAAACTCTCGTGATAGGTTTGCCTGAAGGTAATCACAAGTTGGAAACAACTTGAAGGCACACAACACCACAAAGCCACAAAATATAGTGCAAGTGTTGACATTCCGGTGTAACAGCCCTACTGGAAAGCCCATGGCAGAAGGGAACTTGGGAATGGTAGTGGTGATTTGGTACTGGTTATACAGGATTCTTGACCACTGAGTGCAAGTCAGGCAATTGTCACAGTTTCTGTGATTATTTTCTCTATTGATGCAAGGCCAAGAGAGGACCTGATTGCCATGTTTAAGTATTTGAAAGGATGTCACATTGAGGAGGGGGCAGGATGGTTTTCTGCTGCTCTGGAGACTAGGACATAGAACAATGGAAACAAATTGCAGGAAAAAGAGATCCCAGCTAAGCATTAGGAAGAACATCCAAACTGTTTTTGTTAGGCAATCCCTCGTTGTCCGAGTAGGATAGTCTTCCAAGATCGGTGTACTTGTGGTGGGGCCGTAGGTGACTGTGGAGCTCTCTTCTTGATCTGCATCTTCTCTTGCAGTGAGGGCATTGCTTTCCAGGTGGAAGGTGGTCCCCGTCAGGGTTGGCTTGACACGCCTTCCTCTTGGCACATTTCTATGTTTTGCCCTCCATTTATGCCTCTTCAAATTCTACAGCACTGCTGGTCTCAGCTGACCTCCAGCTGGAGCGCTCAAGGGTCAGGGCTTCCCAGTTCTCAGTGTTTATGCCAGAGTTTTTAAGGTTGGCTTTGAGCCCATCTTTAAAACTCTTTTCCTGCCCGCCAACATCCCATTTTCTGTTCTTGAGTTTGGAGTAGAGCAACTGCTTTGGGAGACGGTAGTCGGGCATCCAGACAACGTGGCCGGTCCAGCGGAGTTGATGGCGGAGGACCATCGCTTCGATGCTGGTGGTCTTTGCTTCTTCCAGCACACTGACTTTTGTCCACTTGTCTTCCCAAGAGATTTGCAGGATTTTTCGGTGGCAGCGCTTGTGGAATCATTCCAGGAGTTGCATGTGACATCTGTAGACTTTCCACGTCTTGCAGGTGTATAGCAAGGTTGGGAGGACAATAGCTTTATAAACAAGCACCTTGGTATTCCTACGGATGTCCCAGTCCTCAAACACTCTCTGCTTAATTCAGAAAAATGCTGCACTCGCAGAGCTCAGGCGGTGTTGTATTTCGGTTTCGATGTTGACTTTTGTGGAGAGGTGGCTGCCAAGGTAGCGGAAATGGTCAACATTTTCTAATGTTACACCATTAAGCTGTATTTCTGGCATTGGAGAGGGATTGGCTGGTGACTGCTGGAAGAGCACTTTGACCTCCTGCTGGAGCGCTCGAGGACCAGGGCTTCCCAGTTCTCAGTGTCTATGCCAGAGTTTTAAGGTTGGCTTTGAGCCCATCTTTCAATCTCTTTTCCTGTCCACCAATGTTCCGTTTTCCGTTCTTGAATTCGGAGTAGAGCAACTGCTTTGGGAGACGGTGGACAGGCATCCGGACAACGTGGCTGGACCAGCGGAGTTGATGGTGGAGGACATTTGCTTCGATGCTGGTGGTCTTTGCTTTTTCCAGCACGCTGACATGAAAAATCCTGCAAAAAAAAAAAAAATCGAAACTGTAAAAGGCATTTTGCAGTGGAATATGCTGCTGCCTTGTACTCCGGTGGAGTCTCTTTCTCTGGAGACTGAAGTTGGATGCCCATTTGTTGGGGGTATTTTGATCCTGTGTTCCTGCAGGGCAAGGGGTGGATTGGATGGCCATTGGGGTCTCTTCAAGCTCTATGATTCTGTGAATCTAAATCAGGGGTCCTCAAACTAAGGCCAGAGCGCCGAATACGGCCATCCAAGGTAATTTACCCGGCCCTCGCTCAGGGTCAACATAAGTCTGAAACGACTTGAAAGCACACAACAACAACAACAACAATCCTATCTCATCAGCCAAAAGCAGGCCCACACTTCCCATTGAAATATTAATAAGTTTATATTTGTTAAAATTGTTCTTAATTTTAATTATTGTATTATTTTCAAGTGTTTTTTGCACTACAAATAATATATGTGCAGTGTGCATAGGAATTCATTCATACTTTTTCAAATTATAATCTGCCCTTCAACAATTTGAGGGATTGTGACCTGGCCCTCTGTTTATAAAGTTTGTGTACCCCTGATTTAAATGAACACAGACTGGTTGGGAAGGTGCTGGTGTTGATCTCATTGTACACCTGGCAAAGTGGGTAAGATGCTGAAGAATGGACATATGCTGCCTTTGCAGTGGCATGTGGTCAGGGGGATTGGGAGTATGATGGTAATACTGGTGAGGTTGGGAATTGTGTATCTTGGGAGTTAATTTCTTTCCTTTCTATCTCCCACCAGCTTCCTGAGGTGGAGGACCCTGACCGGGGGCAGCCGTGCCAGGCCTGCGGGGAGCAGTGCCCAGGCTTCCTAGTGCATGGATGGAGGTAGGTAGAAGAATCTTATTCCCTCTCCCTCCAACAAATCCTCCTTCAACCTCTGTGTGATTTTTTTTTCCTTCCCTCATTCAAGATCTAGTTGGTTACACAAGCATTCTTGGCACAGTGCTGCCTTGCTTTTTTCTGTATTTATTTTGACTGTCTCTGTCTCTTGTCTTTTTTTTGTCGCTGTCTTTCTTTAGGGGGAGGCCCTCAGGGTACAGTCTTCAATACACATAAAGAGGAAACCATCAAAGGCAGTCAGATTTCCTGCTGACTTAACATGTACAGGGTTGTGTGGCATGTCTCCCTTCCTTTCTCTTCAGTCTTACAGCTGACGCTTGTGGATTTTGATCCAATCTGTTTTGCACCCCCTCCATTCCTCTGATCAATTCTGTTGTTTTTAATCATCCTGTATGGCAGTGTTTCTCAAACTGTGCTCCTCCAGGTGTTTTGGCTTAATAATAATAATAATAATAATAATAATAATTATTATTATTATTATTAGCAGCCAGGTTGCTAACTGGTGTCCCTTACAGGGAGAGGTCAACCCTCCTGTTCAAGGAGCTCCACTGGCTGCCATTTATTTTCCGGACCCAATTCAAGGTGAAGGTTCTTACCTACAAAGCCCTGAACAGTTTTGGACCCGCCTACCTACGTGACCGTATTTCTGTATACGAACCCACACGATCTCTTCAATCATCTGGAGATGCCCTACTCTCACTCCCACTACATCACAAGCGTGATTGGTGGGGACGAGAGAGAGGGCCTTCTCGATAGTGGCCCCTCGACTCTGGAACTCACTTCCCAAGGACATCAGGCAGGCCCCAACTCTGGCAGTCTTCAGGAGGAGTTTGAAAACGTGGTTGTTCCAATGTGCCTTCCCAGAATAATGAATCCTCAGCACTTTGTCCTCTAAAGCACTTTATATTGATTTAGGTCTGTTCGTATGTCTCCACTACGGCCACTTCCTTATCTCGTCCATGACCAGCATCATTTTAAATTTTTAATTACATTTGGCGCAGCCATAGATTTTAAAGTGTTTTGTACTATTGTCAATGCTTATGTTATTGTCTATGTGATTTATTTTAATTGCATGTATTGTTATTGTTATTGTTTGTATTGTTGTATTGTGGGCTCGGCCTCATGTAAGCTGCACCGAGTCCCTTGGGGAGATGGTAGCGGGGTATTATTATTATTATATAAATAAAAATGTAATGTTCGTTTGTGGGATTAATATAACTAAAAAACCACTGAACGAATTGACACCAAATTTGGACACAATACACCTATTAGGCCAATGAGTGTCCATCACTCATAAAAACACTGAAAAACATAGCAGAAGAGACTTAAAAAGTAAAAAAAACCCCCAAAAATCCAATTTAAACTCATGCGCAAAACCACATATATACATGCAAACACACATACACAAATATATAAAAGAAAGGTAGTGAAGGAAGGAAGGAAGGAAGGAAGGAAGGAAGGAAGGAAATAAAAAAGTGAACGAAGGAAGAAAAGAGAGGGAAGGAAGGAGAGAAGGAAGGATGGAACCAAAGAGCAAAGGAAGGGAGGAAAGAAACAGGTAGAGAAGGAAGAAAAAAGGGAAAGAAGAAGGAAAAGGAAAAGAGGGAAGGAAGGAGAGAAAGAAAGGTAAGAAAGAGGGAGGGAAGGGTTAGCCACTTTTATTATTATTATAGGAGCCCCCGGTGGCACAGTGGGTTAAACCCCTGTGCCGGCAGGACTGAAGACTGACAGGTCGCAGGTTCGAATCTGGGGAGAGGCTGATGAGCTCCCTCTATCAGCTCCAGCTCGTCATACGGGGACATGAGAGAAGCCTCCCACAAGGATGATAAAAACATAAAAATCATCCGGGCGTCCCCTGGGCAACGTCCTTGCAGACGGCCAATTCTCTCACACCAGAAGCGACTTGCAGTTTCTCAAGTCGCTCCTGACACGACAAAAAAAACCAAACCTCATAAAAACACTAAAAAGTACGGTGGAAGAGACTTAAAAAGCCAAAAAAACCCCAACAACATTACAATGCATGCACATAACCACATAAATACACATATACACAAATACATAAATACACACATATACACATATATACACACACAAAATACATATACACAGACTGGGCCACAGCAACGCACAGGGAACGGCTAGTAGTAGTAGTAGTAGTAGTAGTAATAATAATAATAATAATAATAATAACAACAACAGTAATAATACAACTTTATCTATACCCCGCCACCATCTCCCCAAGGGGACTCGGGGCAGTTTACATGAGGCCACGTCCAGCAATACAGTAAAACAAAATAACACAAGATCACAATAGAAAATAAGAAAATAAAATAACATAGGATACAAAACCAATGTAAATGAACAGTGCAACAATATAAAATCTGTGTGTGTGTATATGTATATATGGTATATTTTGGGGGGTTTTAAGTCTGTTCCTCTGGGGTTGTGTGTGTGTGTTATGGGGTGATAGACACTCTTTGGCCTGAAAGGTGCATTGTGTCCAAATTTGGTGTCAATTCCTCCAGTGGTTTTTGAGTTATGTTAATCCCACCAACGAACATTACATTTTTATTTATATAGATGTATTGAGGCATCAAATTGCTACCAATTGGAAGTTGCCCAAGGGGTTGAGAAAAGCGGGGTACAAATATTCGAAATAAATAAAATAAATAAATAGTTCTGACATCTTTTTCTTTTGCCATTTAACAGATCCTTGCCCTCCTGACATTCCTTCACAGTTTTTGTCTCTTGATCTTCTTCCTCGCACTTCTTCCCTCTTTCTCTTTCTTTTAAATGCATTCCTTCCAGATTCCTCCCTTTCATATGCACATTCCTCCTCCTCTTGCATTTGCATTTCAGCAAGCAAGCCCTAGAGTGGAAATGATTTCTTCCTTTCTGTCTCTTCCCATCACTCATTCAGTTTCCTCCCATCTCACACACTTCTGCATTTCTATACTCATTACTCTTTGCTGTACCACTGGGTGACCAGTCTTCCTTTGCTATATATACTGCCTATAAAGACTGCCACAAACCACAATGAACGATTTCTTGACCTCATTATATACAAGGATCACACACAGGCTGTTGGACCTTTCGCCCTTCTACCTAACTTTTTAAGCGAATATCTCTCTGCAATTGTGGTGCTCAGAATTGGACACTTTGAATATTGTGTCCAATTCTGGGCGCCACAATTGAAAAGAGATATTGACAAGCTGGAATGTGTCCAGAGGAGGGCGACTAAAATGATCAAGGGTCTGGAGAACAAGCCCTATGAGGAGCTGCTTAAAGAGCTGGGCATGTTTAGCCTGGAGAAGGCTGAGAGGAGTCATGATAACCATGTATAAATATGTGAGGGTGAAGTCGAACATGACCCCCCCCCCCAATAAAAGATAGTAACTTATAGTTTTGCTAAGGACAAGGACACCAGACTGGATAATAAGGGTTAAGCCTTGGTCAGTTTGCCAAGACACTAACAACAACAAGGACCCTTCCCATGTTAGATAGTGTGTATCATTTAATCAAGGTTTTTATGCCCTATTTTCATATATTTATAGCAAAAGGTAACAGATTTATTACTGAGAAACCATCTCCCTTTACACTTATGTACTCTCTTGAACTTCTATGGGACTTTGGTGGGAGGGATAAGTGGGTATATTTTCTACACTATGATTTCTATATTTCTCCCTGTATACCTGATCTTTACTTGACCCTTCTGCCCTATTCCCTTTTATAACAAAATGTATAAAAATATAAGAAGCTACTCTCTGTGACCCTGGAAAGAAGGAAATCCTCTGTTGAAAAGAACCTTATCAAGAGACTTATTTGCATGAACCATAGAATGGGAAGCCACTCTGGGGCTCGGAGTCGGTCCCCCCAGCGGATGGTGCCCACTTGGCATTAATGATCATATCTCAACAGGACAAAAGGGCCTTAGGAAAGCCACAGTTTGTCCTGATCTGTTCTCTCAGTTATCTTCCATCCACCAAAACTACAGCCAGGATTACCCCATTGTCTCGATATCTCAGTTCAAGAAAAAAACGGATCCTGGCCACCTTGTCAAACAACGTTTATTGCCACCCATCAAAGACAATAGGCTGGCTGGCTAGAAGGCCCCCTGAGGACTCTCCGACCACATGGATACCACATATTTCCATAATCCACTCCAGTTCTCATTGTTTCCCTCTTGTCCCACCTCCTTCTCTCCTGATAGGCCTGGAGGCCGAAGTGGCATGAGCTCACCCATTGGTTTAGGCACTCAGGAGGTGGCCAAGCCTCCTCCCAGCTGTAGAGTGACAACCAATCAGACAGCTCTGTTTTATGTATATAAAGGCTTTGTTTTTTTGTACTCTGGATGCTTGCCTGATGAAATATCGCGGCTTTGCAACCTTTCCAGCTGCCATAAACAACTCAGTGGCTCTTCTTCAACTTGGTGAGACCTTTTATTGGGAAAAATCAAGGAAAATATTGGGTGCTTCTTTTGTCTCGCCAGGGCAATGAACTCTTTGATGAGTCTGATAGGTCTCCGCCTCCGGGCAAAGACCCCTAAATTCTTCCTCAATAACAAGGGGAAGTCATAGGGAGGAGGGAGCAAGCTTGTTTTCTGCTGCCTTGGAGATTAGGACGCTTCTGGCCCAACTTACCTGTCCTCACAAATCTCCCCTTATGAACCTGCAAGGACTTTAAGATCATCTGGAGCGGCCCTGCTCTCGGTCCCGCCATCATCACAAGTACGGATGGCGGGAACGAGAGACAGGGCCTTCTCAGTGGTGGCCCCTCGGCTATGGAACGCCCTTCCTAGGGAGATTAGATCAGCTTCCTCGCTCCTATCATTCCAGAAGAATCTTAAGACATGGCTATTTGAGTGGGCATTTGAAAATACGGAATAATGGAATATACTATATGGCGGAACTGCACATTGTTTTAATGATTATCGATTGAAGTATGTTTCATTATAATGTTTGATTTTATTGTTGCTGATATTTTTTTATATTGTATATTGTAATTGTGTCCTTGGTGGCATTGAATTCTTGCCTTGTAAACCACCTTGAGTCGCCGGAAAGCTGAGAGGGGCGGTATAGAAATGCATTAAATAAATAAATAGGACGTGGAACAATGGCTTCAAACTACAAGAAAGGAGATTCCACAGTCAGGAAGAACTTCTTGACTGTGAGAGCCGCTCAGCAGTGGAACTCTCTGCCCCGGAGTGTGGTGGAGGCTCCTTCTTTGGAAGGTTTTAAACAGGCTGGATGGCCATCTGTTGGGGGTGCTTTGAATGTAATTTTCCTGCTTCTTGGCAGGGGGTTGGACTGGATGACTGGTCTCTTCCAACTTTATGATTCTATGAATCCGTTTTGGACTTGGCTAACCCAGGTGGGTGGTGGTGGGAAGCAGGCAGGATTAGCATCAAAACCCATTGGCTTTGTAAGGGCAAGGCCTACACAATACAGTCATGTCCCACCCTGGTCATTCCACAGATATATAAACACATTTTTCCTACTTCCAACAGACCTCACTACCTCTGAGAATGCTTGTCATTGATGCAGGCGAAACGCCATATAGCCCAGAAAAACCTACAACAACACAGTGATTCCAGCAATGAAAGCCTTCGACAATACAATACAGTCATGTGTTGGCCTCCAGTTGAGGGACCTTGTGTTGAAAGCTGCTCTTTGAATTCGCTTGAAGGATTAACATAGAAATGCCTGTAATTAATAGGATAAAAGAGAGAACAAATAAAAGAACTTGGTATGGGGTTAGAATGAGTTAATCGTGGTTCTTTTCAGCTGTTTCCCGGGTCACAATGTTGCAATGAATCTAGATGACTCAGAAATCAGAATCCCATTGGTTAATCCCAATGAAAGCAGACCTAGTGAATCAGTTGTTGAGTCGTGAGTCAACAAGGGAGTAAATCCAATTAATCTGTTTCGGTTAGGACTAGGAACTAGATTCAAGACATACGATTAGAATCATAGAATCATAGAGTTGGAAGAGACCTCATGGGCCATCCAGTCCAACCCCTGCCAAGGGAATATTGCATTTAAAGCACTCCTGACAGATGGCCATCCAGCCTCTGTTTAAAAGCTTCCAAAGAAGGAGCCTCCACCACCAGAGAGTTCCACTGCTGAACGGCTCTCACAGTCAGGAAGTTCTTCCTCATGTTCAGATGGAATCTCCTTTCTTGTAGTTTGAAGCCATTGGTCCATGTCCTAGTCTCCAGGGAAGCAGAAAACAAGCTTGCTCCCTCCTCCCTGTGGCTTCCTCTCACATATTTATACATGGCTATCATGTCTCCTCTCAGCCTTCTCTTCTTCAGGCTAAACATGCCCAGCTCCTTAAGCCGCTCCTCATAGGGCTTGTTCTCCAGACCCTTGATCATTTTAGTCGCCCTCCTCTGGACACAATTCCAGCTTGTCAATATCTCTCTTGAATTGTGGTGCCCAGAATTGGACACAATATTCCAGGTGTGGTCTAACCAAGGCAGAATAGAAGGGGTAGCATGATTTCCCTGGATCTAGACACTATGCTCCTATTGATGCAGGCCAAAATCCCATTGGCTTTTTTTTGCCGCCACATGACATTGTTGGCTCATGTTTAACTTGCTGTCCATGAGGACCCCAAGATCTTTTTCACACATACTGCTCTTGAGCCAGGCGTCACTTTATAACTGGCTCACAACAATTATGTTAACAGTCTTTTAGGACAGTGGTTCTCAACCTGTGGATCCCCAAGTGTTTTGGCCGACAACTCCCAGAAATCCCAGCCAGTTTACCAGCTGTTAGGAATTCTTGTGAGTTGAAGGCCAAAACATCTGGGGACCCACAAATTGAGAACCCCTGTTTTAGGATCTCTGGGTCTGCATGTAGAGGGTGAATGGATGTAAGGATCGGTTGCGGTGGTGGGGTGTTTTTATCACTTCTCAGAGTCTAATAAACCCTGTTATATTGCTTCCCTACACCACTGGAGAAATTACACTGTTTAGCCGGTATTACACCACCTGACATCCGCCAGGAAGTAGCAGCCAATAGTGAAAGGACCAAGGCAGTGACATCTCCAGCTCATCCCTTGTTTGGGTATCAGCCAGCACATCAATGACTTAAATCAAGAAATAGCTTTCTAAGATCTACAGAGACACTTGCTGGAAAACCTCAGCAAGCGAGAGTCCAAAAGTGGCAGGCTCAAACCCAGAACCTCAATCAATAGCTGATACCAAATGAGAGACCTCCCTCCTGGGCACATAGAAAACTGGGCAACTTGGAAGGCGCTGAAAAGACTGCGCTCTGGCACCACAAGATGCAGAGCCAATCTTAAGAAATGGGGCTACAAAGTGGAATCCATGACATGCGAGTGTGGAGAAGAGCAAACTACAGGCCACCTGCTGCAATGCAACCTGAGCCCTGCCACATGCACAATGGAGGACCTTCTTGCGGCAACACCAGAGGCACTCCAAGTGGCCAGATACTGGTCAAAGGACAATTAATCAACTACCAAGCTTGCAAGCATTGTGTTTTCTTTGTTTGTTTGTTAAAAATGCAATACAACTGTTTTGGTTCGCTCCTCACATGATAAATAAATTGCTTCCTATACTTTAAGATTCAATAGGCAGATGAATAATTGTAAAGCATAAAGCAGTGATTCCCAAACAGTGGCCTCCGGATATTTTGGATTTCAGCTCCCAGAATTCCTTATTGGAGGTCAAGATAACTAATGTTTCTGGGATGTGAATTCAAATACCCGAAGATCCGAAGTTTGGGAATCTCCGATCTAGAGGAACAGTGCTTTCCCTTGCATTATGGCAGGGATGAAGAAAGTATGGAGTTTGCTCGATGACAACTCCCATTATTCCTCATAATTTCCTTGGTTATCTGTGGCTAATGGGAGTTGCATTCTGAGAACAGCTCAAGAGCCACTGCTTGTTCTCCATCTCCGTTTTATCAGATCTCGCAGGAGCCACAAGAGATGTTTATGTGCCTGGTTGGCTGGCATCTTCCAGGCTTCCTTGGCTGTTCCTGGAGTGAATCACGGTCAACCTTTCCCTTTGTTTGCAGGAAGATCTGCCAACACTGCAAGTGCCCACGTGAGGAGCATGCCGTGCGCATGGTGCCTGTTGACTTGGAGAGGATGATGTGCCGCCTGATCTCTGACTTCCAGCGCCACTCCATCTCAGATGATGACTCTGGCTGTGCCTCGGAGGAGTATGCCTGGGTGCCCCCAGGACTCAAGCCCGAGCAGGTGATTCCAGTGGCATTGTGTGTGTGCATGTGTGTGACAGCATGTGTGTGCTCTTAGTTCAGGAAAAATCTTGGGATTTTGGGTTATTTTCCTCAGGCTTTGACCATGAAGGAAAGGATGAAATCTGCTCCCAAACTTTCTGCAGTAGTGACTTTTATTTCTCCTCCAAGTTGATACCATTTCTATTTCAACCCCCACCCCAAAACAAATAATAATAATAATAATAATAATCTTTTAAAAAGTTTTTTTATTATGCTATAAACACAAATCAGCAAGCCAAATTCCAAGTTTTACACATATAAATCCTGAGTAATTCAACAAATATTAAAGATATTATGGTAACTTACAGTGGTGTAGATTACATTTTTCCCACCCTCCCTCCAGCCACTGGTAAAGTCTTTGTATTTTTTCTTTGATGTTATTGTTGGCTCCTCCATTTTTCACCCAGTTGAAGTAGATCTATTTGTAATGACCTTTTCTTTGTCCATTCCTGGTGTTTGCTTAGTCATAATTCCTGTAATGTCTAACAGCACTTGATCATACATATAATAACCTGCACCTTGAATTGGGACTGGAAACTAATCGGCAGCCACTGAAGCTGTTTAAACAGGAGTGTTGACCTCTCTCTGTAACTTGCTCCAAGTAACAAGCTGACCACCGATCTTTGCACCAGCTGTAGTTTCCGAACCGTCTTCAAGGGCAGCCCTATGTAGAGTGCATTACAGTAGTCTAATCTTGAGGTAACTAAGGCATGGACCACCATGGTCAGATCAGACTTCTCAAGGTACGGTTGCAGCTGGCGCACAAGTCTTAACTGTGCAAAGGCCCTCCCGGCCACCGCCAACATCTGAGCATCAAGCGTCAGCGCTGAATCCAGGAGGACCCCCAGACTGTGGACCTGTGTCTTCAGGGAGAGTGTAACCCTGTTTATAGAGCTATTGTCCTCCCAACCCTGCTCTATGCCTGTGAGACGTGGGCTTTCTACAGACGTCACATGCAACTCCTGGAACAATTCCATCAGTGCTGCCTCTGGAAAATCCTGCAAATCTCTTGGGAAGACACGCGGACAAACGTCAGCGTGCTGGAAGAAGCAAAGACCACCAGCATTGAAGTGATGGTCTTCCACCATCAACTCCGCTGGACCAGCCACGTAATCCAGATGCACGACCACCATCTCCCAAAGCAGTCGCTCTACTCTGAACTCAAGAACAGAAAACGGAATGTTGGTGGACAGGAAAAGAGACTTGAAGATGGGCTCAAAGCCAACCTTAAAAACTTTGGCATAGACACTGAGAACTGGGAAGCCCTGGCCCTTGAGCGCTCCAGCTGGAGGTCAGCTGTGACCAGCAGTGCTGTAGAATTTGAAGAGGCATGAATGGAGGGCGAAAGGGAGAAGCGTGCCAAGAGGAAGACGCATCAAGCCAACCCCGACCGAGACCACCTCCCACCTGGAAACCAATGCCCTCACTGCGGAAGAAGATGCAGATCAAGAATAGGGCTGTGGAAGCATACCATAGAATTGCCTGAAGGACCTACAATGTTCCCAGACGGGAACTATTTTGTCAGATGCCCATAGGTGAAACTGTGGATGAAACTGTGGGTAAAACTGTGGGTACTGCATGTACTACGAGAAATATTGATCCTGCCAAGGGTCAAAACTTTTTGGTTGAGAACTCTTTCTTGGCGGGTGCTTCATAAACGTTCCATATAAATGATCAAAGGACAGATTTTATTTTGCTATACAAGTTTCCACACGTGTCATGTCTAACTCTTACACACTGGTCTGCAGGAAGGAATTACACTAATTTCCTATCTGCATCCACTCAAGAGCAGATATGCTAATTGGTTGGATCCAGACAATTTGCCTAGACAAATTTGAATACAATAGGAATTAAGTACAAGGAACAGCCTTGGGATAGTGGATCAATTCGTCTTTATGGAGGTTCGAGGCACCACAGTTGAAGAAGGATGTGGACAAGCTGGAACATGTTCAGAGAAGGCCGACCGAAATGATCAAAAGTCTGGAAGTCAAGCCTTTTTGGGGATCGGATGAGGAAGCTGGGTCGGTTTGGCTCAGAGAAAAGAAGGCTGAGAGTGGGCATGAATATTTAAATACTATGGGTGTTTCATTCTATTTTAATGTTTGCATATTTTTGGATTTTAAATTGAAATACCTTTATTGTAAGCCACTCGGAGTCTCCTTTGTGGAGAGAAAAAGTGGGATATAAATAAACATAATAAGCATAATAAATAAATAAATAAATAAATAAATGTATAGCCATTTTTTAATATTTGCAATAATGTCACATTGAGGAGGGACCAAGCTATTTTCGAGTGCTGGGTGGGGTTAAACTCCCCTTGAAGGCACAGATTCGCAGCTTGGGAGTCCTCTTGGATTCATCACTGAGCCTGAAATCCCAGGTTGTACCAGTTTGTATTTTTTTTTTTTGGAGCCCCCGGAGGCGCAGTGGGTTAAAGCCCTGTGCTGGCAGGACTGAAGACCAACAGGTCGCAGGTTCAAATCCGGGGAGAGGCGGATGAGCTCCTTCCATCAGCTCCAGCTCCTCATGCGGGGACATGAGAGAAACCTCCCACAAGGATGATAAAAACATCAAATCATCCAGGCGTCCCCTGGGCAACGTCCTTGCAGAAGGCCAATTCTCTCACACCAGAAGCTACTTGCAGTTTCTCAAGTCGCTCCTGACACGACAAAAAAAAAGTGTTGGCCAGGGGAGCGTTCGCACATTTAAAACTTGTGCGGCAGCTGCACCCGTACCTTGGGAAGTCAGACTTGGCCACGGTGGTCCATGCTGTCATTACATCTAGGATAGACTACTGCAACACACTCTATGTGGGGTTGCCTTTGAAGACTGCTCGGAAGCTTCAAATAGTCCAATGAGAGGCAGCCAGGTTAATAACTGGGGTGGCATACAGGGAGCAAACAACTCCCATATTATGCCAGCTCCACTGGCTGCCAGTTTGCTACCGGGCACAATTCAAAGTGCTGGCTTTGGTCTATAAAGCCCTAAACGGCCCCGGCCCAATTTACCTGTCCGAACGCATCTCCCCCTATGAACCATCACAGAGATTAAGATTAAGAACCTCCGGGGAGGCCCTGCTTTCCATCCCACCATTTTCACAGGTGCGATTGGTGGGGACGAGGGACAGGGCCTTCTCGGTGATTGCTCCCAGGCTATGGAACACAATCCTGGTGAGATCAGGTCGGCCCCCTCCCTCCTGTCCTTTAGAAGGATGGTAAAAACTTGGCTGTGAGACCAAGCTTTCGGGACAGGGCAATAAAGCGGCAATAGGAAAGATGACCAGGCCAATTAGATTTGACGCGGATGACTAGGACGGTTTTAAATGGTTTATTTTAATATTTTGATAAATGTTTTTTAATATTTATGTATGTGTATGTGAATTTGTGTCCTGGCATTGAATGTTTGCCGTGTATATGCTGTGCTCCGCCCTGAGTCCCCTTCGGGGTGAGAAGGGCGGAATATAAATGCTTTAAATATTTATTTATTTTATTATTTATTTATTTAGAGCTTTTATAACCCGGTCTTCTCAACCTCCGAGGAGGGACTCAGGCCAGCTAACAACAGAGAATCAATATACAAATAAACTAAAGCATAATAACATCATAGTACATTAATACATTAAAACACATTAAAATACAGATCAAGAATTACATAAAGCCAATTCGTCAAGGTAAATAAATAAATAATAAGTTACAGAGCAACAGGTTCAAAACAACTTCTGACAATAAGAGCAGTCTCACAGTGGAACATGTTGCCTCACAGTGGTTCTCAACCTGGGGCCCCCAGATGTTTTTGGCCTACAATTCCCAGAAATCCCAGCCAGTTTACCAGCTGTTAGGATTTCTGGGAGTTGTAGGCCAAAAATATCTGGGGACCCCAGGTTGAGAACCATAGTGGACTCTCCTTCTCTGAAAGTTTTTTTCTGAATGACCATCTGCCAGGAGAGCTTTGTTTAAGTCAGTGGTTCTCAACCTGTGGATCCCCAGGTGTTTTGGACTATTTATTTATTTACAGTTTTTATATTCCTCCCTTCTCACCCCGCAGGGGACTCAGGGCGGATTACAGTGTACACATATATGGCAAACATTCAATGCCAATTTTGACATACAACATATACAGACATAGACAGAGGCTATTTAACTTTTTCTGGCCGCCAGGGGAGCTGTCGCTTTCATCGTCCATCTGCGGCACTGATGAAGCACTTCCGCATTCCCCGCATGCTTCTTTTATATTCCGCCCTTCTCACCCCGCAGGGGACTCAGGGCGGATTACAGTGTACACATATATGGCAAACGTTCAATGCCAGTTTTGACATACAAACATATACAGACATACACAGAGGCTATTTAACTTTTTCTGGCCGCCAGGGGAGCTGTCGCTTTCATCATCCATCTGCAACACTGATGAAGCACTTCCGCATTCCCCGCATGCTTCCCCGCTGGAATGCTTTGCTGGAGTCTTCTTTATGGCCTCATAAATCAGTTAATTTAGCCTCCCCACACTTTAAGGTGGTACCTAATTTTCCTACTTGACCGATGCAACTGTCTTTCGGGTTGCAAAGGTCGACAACAGGCTACACACAATTGGTTGGAAACCCACTCCAACCCGGGCTGGCTTCGAACTCATGACCTTTTTGGTCAGAGTGATCTTAATGCAGCTGACACTCAGCCTGCTGCACCACAATCCTGACTACAACTCCCAGAAATCCCAGCAAGTTTACCAGCTGTTAGGATTCCTGGGAGTCGAAGGCCAAAACATCTCAGGACCTACAGATTGAGAACCACTGGATTAGGTCTTCTTGCATGGCAGAAAGGGGTTGGATTGGATGACCTTTGGGGTCTCTTCCAGTTCTGTGATTTCATGATTCAATTCTGGAAGCAAACGTTTGGCTTATATATAACTTTGGGCAGAGAAATTCCAAACTTCTTGGTGTGTTTTTCAAGTGTTATCACTGTGCAT